AATGTCAACCAATAGATTGCACGAATTCGACGTGGGACTCGAGACAGACACCATTGAAGAAGTGTCGACCGATTGATTGAAGGAAGAGAGATTTTGTCGCACGTTGAGAGAACAGATGTCTGATCCTTCCTGGGAGCCTCCTATGGGCTGATTGGCCGGGAATTGCTGGGATTTCTGTGGCTGGGAATCTGAAAATGCACATGTAGAAACACCTGACGAAGCACCTGAAGTGCTGTGACCGTGGCCGCAATGTACACTTGGATCGCCAGTCTCCTCGAACATTGCAGCTGATGTGACAATAGGGGGAGCCACAGCACGAACTGAATCCTGTGGATCTATTATAGCCGTATTACGCCTTTCAATCAGTTCACGACGTAGTCCAAGAGAGTCGCGACGAGATTAAGGGCGCTTAACACTAAAATTTCGGGTTCGTTCCAACTCATTTGGAGCGAGATCCAACATCGCACGAGCTTCACTGCACATTACCTCATCTTCATTACTCGAAAGCTGAAGATCCGCGGAGCTTCCTGGCATGGCTTCCAAACATGGAGCACATTTCTCTAAGTGGATTACATTTCTACATGGGTTCTTATAACATGGTTCAGGACGGTCCAACACGGTGAAAAGCGTTTCTCGAAACTTACCGCTTTTCACCGTGTTGAAACGAAGTTAACCGTAGTGGGCGTACAAAAAGTTCTACAACCTGTCGTCGCCCTAAAGCATATGGCGGCGTGGTACTGCTTCTACATGATTCACGGAATCCTGTCGCTGCTGGTGAAAGTTTTGGCGACCTGCGACCATTTTTTCGCACCTGCTGCGGCATGGTTACTAGAAGAGGCGAGGAAAGAAATAAAAAATTTTAGAGGTTTCTGACGTGGCTTATGCCTTTCTGAGCCCTTCGCTATTGGTCAATTGGTTGCCACTAACCTCATGCCATGTCAGCAACGTCTGAAGCATCTTCACTGTTCAGCGGTATTTTCTATACGCGAAACAAAAGCAATAGAGTGGTTTCGTACAATACTACAGTTTCAGACCCCATAAGAGTGTCACCTGTGATCTGCAACATGTTAGTTTACGTACATTGACCATACACATCCTTGTTTCTTTTAATGAGATGTTTTTATTGAGTCAAGGTAATATTTTTAGAGTCTATCAGTTCCACCTGAACTGAATGTCAAACTAAGCAGTAGGTTGAAATGAATGCACAGATACTTCTAAATCGTACTTACCTAATATCTGAACTACCAAAGCACAGCACACCAGCTGCAAGCGTCCATCATGTATGTAGATAGGGAATCTTCTGAAATAGAAGGAAAGGGGAAGATTCTGAGGGCTTGTCTTCACAAGGTGATGCTACCGTCACTTGCTAACAAGGTCGTGTCTCTTGCAACTCAGCAGCTGTACACACTGTCGATTTGAAAAGCTCGTGAACGGATAACGCCGCATCTTCCCTTAGTTCCCAGCACACGAAACACTGTCAGACGAAGCGGTGCTCATTGGCGAGCCGGGTACCTGGTTACCGTCACGGTTCCCAATCGCGATCGATTCATCGTCCGAAAGGAGCGACTCGTCGTACACGCGGGCAGAAGCTGCAGGGTAAGCGAAGAGCTTACTACCTTTGACAGAATATCCCACAGATGCCGTCCGCGAATCCCAGCAACTCGTTGTCGCTCTCGCCGTCGACCTCCTTGTTCGCCGGCTCGACTGGCGGCGCTCAGTTCCTGGAGTCGACGCGACAGGATGCTGTGTCATCGTCCACGAAGAGCACTCGCTTCGCTCATCCCCGTCGTAGTCTTCGCCTTCGTCGTCGTACATCCCGCTGACGCCAACGGAGTGCAGAGTTACGGCGTCGCTGCTTCCGTCCCCGTGAGGCGCACTCGTTCTACCTCTCCGTCTGGAAAAGGGCATGGACGGCTTGGAATTCGTGGCACGATGCTTAGTACTATCAGCGTCTCTGGAGGAGGGACGCAGGCGGCGAGAAATCCAGGAGGCGATAGAAGAGAAGATGGAAGGTTCAGCGGGAAAATCCGTTGTCGGCGTGGGGTTTCCCAAAGCGTCAAGCTTCTTGCGGATGTTGGGGCCGTATCGATGTCGAACGCGTTTGGGTTGAGACGGGAGCGCCATGATGGCGGGCTGCTTATGTCCGTGGGGCGCAGCGGACATGCAGCTGATTTCGGACGAGGATTTTCGGATGCAGAGTGAGTGGACTTGTAGGGATGAGCGTCAAGCAGAAGAGCATTCTATGAGCCAGCGCATTGGAAATTGTTGTGGAAATTGAGCTGATTTCTGCTGCTGTGTAATCTTTGTTTGTCTCGTTCCGAGCTTTGGGAGACTAGGGGGATGGTGGTTGCATGGAGCGAATTCGGAATTTGGATTTCTGAAAAGCGATTCGGCTGGTGGAGCGACATGCCGACTGTGCAAAACCGTGCAGAGGCTCGAATTTGGCGCACGCGGGCCAGGTCATTGGCGACAGAGGAAACCCCACGAATTCGCATGGTGGTGGGTACAATATCACCGAAACCCCGTTCGCGGAACCGCGCGTTTCGAAAAGTTGTACCAGCCGTTACGAATGCTTTAGTAATTCAATATGGGAATGAGCAAACACGTTTCGTTATCCGGAGATTTAGAGCACAGATCTAATAACGAGAATTCCCAAGAAGGGGTGGGGGCGACACGGATTACTCCCTAGTCCTACGTACAGCACAGCATGGCTGGCGACGACTTGCGACGCTAGCTACATGATCACGCTGTGCTGGCAATCAAGAATTGGTTTAGCCACGATTTTCTGGACACGCTGTCACTGCTGGGCAGCTCAAACACCGTGGCGTTGAAGGACTTGACCGCCCGAAGCTTCCAACACTTCCACAACCACCAAATGCTGACGTACTCCTGATGCCTGTTTGAGCCCCTCCCGGTTGCCTTGTGAAGGGGGCATATAAGCTGTATCGTGCGTTTCGCATAAGTTCGTCAATTTCGCAGCAAGCTAAAAAGAATTCGCATGTGCTTATAAACAAGACCCTGCTACCTAGTTACCTAGTTTGACTTCAGTCTCTTCTGCTTGACTTCGGTCTCTTCTGCTTGACGCGCTTGTAATGTGGGTGCATGAAGCTGGGGAAACAACCTCGGGTGCAGCGTGTCCATCCGGCGCAAGGCAAATTCGCGCGCATGGGGTGAGCATCAGCTGTATTTCACTCTCCCAATTCCTTTTTTCTAGAGCTCGGGTAGCCACCCTTTTCTTCAAAACAAGTCCAGATACAGACCACGCGGTCCATAAAAAGCAACATAGCTGACTGGAACTTGTGGGTTTTGCCGAAGCAGAGATAGAGGTTTGAAAACAAACCTGGGAGGGTGTGGGGGCATGTCCTTTCAAGGAGGGAAGAGACAAAATATGCGATGTTTGTTCAGCAATACTGCAGCTGAATTGGTTTTGATTATTCCCTGCCCAAATTGTTCAACCTTTGTAGGGTTGACCTTTGGGTGGCGGGAGAAGAAGTTGACTTGTTGTGAGTTGGGCTGTTTGCTTTCGCCCAGTTTCGCGCTAGACCCTTGGGGTTTTCGTTGGCACGGCAAACCCCTGGGAGCAACCTGGGTTTGCAAAGTCGACTTCAACGCATTGCACTTCAAAATACACGAGGGTTTTCACTTGACAACGATTCCCAGTGATTGTTATTGCCCTTGGAAACCCAGGAATTTTCTGGACCAATCAGACTCTCCTGGCCAGCAAGCACATCGCCACCGATCAAAGCAATCCTGTCAGCTAATCCAAGCCGTACAAGCCACTATCCATCCCACACTTTAATACAGTTTACTGTATTCAGAAATAATCTCCACCGTTCGAGTGCCTACATCGACGGATACAGCTCTTTCAACCGCCCTTTGACTGCGTCGACAGGTGATACAGCTCCACATGATCTCCTGGCTCGAACTACGGCCCTGAAACATATCCACACCACACATCACGCCTTACCTCCACCCCCAAAACTAAGCAAGTCTGGTTCGGCAAGCTGCAGCCATGAAGAACTGCAGCCTCGTCGTCGAGCACCTGACGTGGAATATGGTCTGGGTGGATCAGGTTGGGGAAGACCGGGCTTGGTTGAGGGAGGCGAGATAAAATTGTACTGTAGGCTGGTTAGGGGAGTCTCGGACAGGTCAGTGGTTACTGGTCACCTCCAGCAAGCAAGAAAACTTTGCCGCGGGTGGGGCCACTCACCTCACCACCAGTTACCAGACCTGGACCTGGCGGTTAGGGAGCAAAGGGAACTCACCAAACCCTCACGAACGTCTTTGACCGCTCGCAGATCCCGAGACACTAGAAGAACGTCTTGACTCTCTCCTGCTCTGTCATTGTTTCTGCTTTCTTTCCCAATTCTCGCGTTTTGATGATTGATGTGTGAACGTGTGGTGCTCCTGTGTGTGGTGAGCTGTGGTTTCTGTAACCCTGGATGTGCGCTTCCGCTTGCAAGGGTCATGGCGCCCCGCATAGACGGCTAGTATTTTAGGAACTCGATTTCCGGATCTCCTTTTCTTTTCCACTTTTTTTGTCGTATGTCTCAGCTTAGGCTTGTTGTCTCGCGTTCGGTGGCGTTTCTCCCTTCCTCCCCGCACCTGCTCGTCATCCTGTCTCTTCCCGTACCTTTCCCCCCAGATTTTCCTTCCTTTTTGGCAACGTTTAGCTAATTTAACTTTTACTGTCAGTAAGAATTGGAAAAGGTTTGGGGAGCTGGATATTGCAGGAATTTGAATTGAGTGAGAGTTTGGATCTGGACCAACCGCGTAATATCGTGCGAAGACCTGGACTCGCACAACTTGAAAACGCAAGATAGCGTTTAGCTACCCGGTAGAGTTATTTCGGAAATCAGCCGAGCCGCCTACACTGTAGATTAATGTCCGGCGAGTCGATCCACGCTCCAACCATGGAGACCCAATTAGAGTCGCTAAGTACGCTGTGTAAGAAGCTTCTAGACGCGACGACGCTGGCAAACTCGCAAACCAAGGTGCTGATGAAGCACGCTAATACGATGTATCTACGTGTTGAGATGGCGAAGCAATCCGCGGGACAAGCGGACCCGGACTTTGATGAGAGCCTTAGCGGGTGAGTAGCCTTCTCACTGTTAAGTTTCTGTCATAATAAGTTGAAGGCCGGCAATTTCCGGGACAAGCGGACCCGGACTTTGATGAGAGCCGCCGCCTGTGAGTGGCCAGCCTTTTCGTTGTGAGGCTTTTGTCAGAATTAAGATAAGCAGTGGTTGTGTTTCCGGGTCAAGCAATTTCGGACTTCGATGAAAGCCTTAGACGGTGAGCTGAGGAGCACGTTCTTTGCTTTACTTGATGCAAACTTTTCAATACGCGGCTTTCCGAAGTCGAACTAATGTTCTTCGTCTTCGTCTTCGCCTTCGCCTTCGTCGTCGTCTTCGCCTTTGTCTTCGTCTTCGCAGTCGCCTTTGTCTCCCCCCTGGCCTTTGTCTTCCCCTTGGCCTTTGTCTTCACCGTCGCCGTCGCCTTCGCCGTTGTCTTCGTCTTCTTTGGCGAGGATGTTCGAGGCTTCGACAGCTCTGCTTACAATCTTCGCATAGTTGTCCGCTGTGGTTCGAATGTGTCTCTTCCTGGCACCTTTGACGGGCGTTCGACGCACAAAGCCTCTCAATGCCTTTCGCGTCGTCCCCTTGTCTTGTCGTTCACCTCCTTTATTTCCGTTGTTTTTTTTTTCTCGTTATCCCTGCCCTTTCCCAGTGACGTGGCAGAAGCTCAAGATCTGGTCCAATCAGCGATGGAGGCCCTGGGAAGCTGCCAGGCTCTTCTCGGACCCCCGAACCCTGACGCGGAATCTCCTCCTGCTGACGTGGCATCGCCCCCACACTCGCGCTGCGCTGAGGAGCAACACGTGGACCAACAGGACAACTCGTACTCGCAGCATCCGCATCCTCATCAGCAACAGCAGCAGCAGCATCACAATAATCCGCTTCAGAACCACAATCAGAGCCATCAGCAGCAGCAGCAGCAGCAGAACGGGGATAGCAACGGCGACAACGCGGCATCGTTCCCCCCCGACCATCCCAACGGTCAGACCGCCACTCATCCCTCCTCTCCCGCGCGTTCCGCCGTCCCATCCGCTGCTGCCGCCAACGCTTCTCCCGCTGCTGCGGGCAACGGAACCGACGCATCCGCTCCGGCCAATCCCGGCACCGCTGCTGCTGCAGCCGCCGCGTCCGCCGCTTTTCGCGCGGCAGCGGCAGCGGGAGCGTCGGGGCGACCCACTCCCGAGGAGCTGGGGATGCATTTGCGAATGCTTGGCGACATGAACCTTGGTTCGGATCGCAGCGTGGGCGACGTCGTCGCGTCAGTGCTGCAGCAGCTGAACCACGGGATGAACAATCATCACGGGATGAATAATCACCACGGCATGAATCACCCCGGAATGAGCCACCACGGAATGATGCCGTTTCCGCCCGGGATGTTCCCAATGCCGCCGCCCGGAGTCCTTCCCCCGCACGGCGTCTTCCGCCCCCCGGGCTCCGCGCACCCGCCGCTTCCGCCGCTCGGATCCGCCCCCGGGCCTTCGGACGCGGACGGGATGAGCAGCTCCGGCGGAGGAGGTTCGGCGGCGCCCGGAGCCCCTGGTTCGGCGGCGGCAGGAGCGGGAGGCGCGGGGGTTCCAGGTCCCCCTGTGCTTCCGCCGATGTGGATGTCTCCGCACGGGCTCGCGTTCTGGCCGCGCCCGGGGGGAAATAACGCCATGCATCATCCCCCCCCGATGGGGGGAAGCATGGGCGGGAGGGGTAGCACAGGGGGGATGGGGTCCCCCGCGCCCCCTCCGCCTGTGCCGTCCGCGGAAGGCAAGGAGGGAGGACGTGGCGGAGCGAGCGCATGGATGTCCGCGGGAGGGGGCGGAACGGCGGGAGGGGGCGCGGGGCAGCATCAGGGCTTTGAGGCGCCGCAGAAATCGCATCTGGGGGTTGAAGGGGGGGCGCAGAAACAGCTTCCGCCAACCGAGGGCGCGCAGAAGGTGCATGCGCCGCCGCAGCACGCGGGGCAGCACGGGCAGCACCCGGGGCAGCACCCGGGGCAGCGGAAAGGGGGCGCGGGGAACCACCCGCACGCGGAAGGGCGGGGGTTCCAGGGATGGAGCGGGGGAGGAGGGGGAGGGGGCGCGGGGAAGGATGCGGGGAAGGACGGGGGCAAGGGCACGGGTGAGGGGGGAGATAGTGAGGGTGTAAAAGCAGGCGGAAGCGGAGGCGCAGGGAGTGGGAGTGGGGGCGGGACAAAGCGGAGTGCTGCGGCTGCTGCTGTTGGCGCTGCTGGTGGCGGTGGGGGTGGTGGCGGTGGTGGGGGTTGTGCAGAGGAGGACGGTGACGATGGAGCAGTGCTGCATAAGAGGTGCGTGTTGCATGAGAGGTGTTTAATGCATAGGCGCCATAGGTGGTCTGCGTGATTGTGCTCTAAGATCTTTGAAAAACTCCCATGCACGTGTGACTCCTCCACCCTTCCCCACCACACTTCCGTACCGTCCTTTTCTAACCCTCTTTCTCCCGCCCTCCCTTCCCTCTTGCCAGGCCGCGCATGCCGTCATCGAAGCCGTCAGCGCCGGAGATGCCGATGGACGGGTGGGAGTGGCGCAAGTACGGTCAGAAGGTCACCCTCGGCCAGACCTACCCCAGGTACCTGCCTTGCCCTTCTGCCCTTCTGCCCCGCTGCCCTGCCCTTCTGCCCCGCTGCCCTGCCCTGCTGCCCTGCCCTGCTGCCCTGCTGCTTGCCATACCCCCCTTCTTCAAGTTTTGAGTCGACTTAGAACAAGTACGGCCAGAAGGTGACTCTCGGCCAGACCAGACCTTCCCAGGTAGCTAGCTGCCTTGCCCTGCTGCCTACCATGCGCCGCCTTGCTGTGCTGCCTCCATGCGCCCCATTACTGTGCTGCCATCCTCCTCCGCCCTAATACCCCTCTCCGGCCAAGAAGTGGGCGGAGAGGTGCAACGATAACCCCGTCAAGTGGCGCATCAAATACGTTGGCGAGCATAACCACCCACTCTCTCTCACCCCCTCTTTCTCCCCTTTCCCCTTCCCCCTTTCCCGCTTCCCCTTTTCCCCCCTTCCCCACTCCCTCTCCTCCCTGCTTTCCCCCGATCCTCCTCTCCCCCCACAGGAGCTACTTCCGCTGTGCACACAAGACCACGGGGTCTCATCCCTGCCCCGCCAAGAAGTGGGCGGAGAGGTGCAACGACAACCCCTTCAACTGGCGCATCAAGTACGTGGGCGAGCACAACCACTCCAAGCCGCCCCCCCGCCCCGTCACCATCACCATCATTCATGACGGCCCTGTGGATGGAACTGCCGCTGCTGCTCTCCCCGCTCCTCCCCCTGCTTCTGCTGCTGCTGCTGCTGCTGCTGGTGGTGGTGCCGTCGCTGCTGGTGCTGCCGGTGCCACCGGTGCCGGTGGTGCCGGTGGTGGTGGTGGTGGTGGTGCCGGTGCTGGTGCTGGTGCTCTTGCTGCTCCCTCGCCGCTGTCTCTTCTCGCCCCGGCTGCACCGCCTTCCCTGGCTCTTCCCGCTCCCCACTCTACTGCTGCTGCGGGTTCTGCTGCTGCTGTAGCTGCGCCCGCTGCTCCCGAGGTTACCTCTGCAGCTCCTGCTGCTGCTTGTGCCGCGGGAGCGATTGGCTCTGCAGCACAGGCAGTGAAGCAACCCCCTTTTGACATTCTCCAGGTGCGGCTGGGAGGAGGAGAGATCGGAGGAGGAGGGGGTGGAGGAGGCGAGGTGCAAGCAGGACCAGGGGTGGTGGTAGAAGCAAGTGGGAGTCACAGTCACGGGCACAGTCACGGGCACAGTCACGGGCACAGTCACAGTCACAGTCACAGCCACGAGCCTACAGACATGGGAGAAGAGTTTTCCGAGGGATTCGCGTCTCCTGGGAGTGACAAGGGGGGGGCGAGTCACAGGGTAGGTGGGGCGAACGGAGGGGAGACGACTGGTGGGGAGAATGGGGGGATGAAACAGCAGAGCACCCCCAAAGGCCGCGATTTCCTGTCGGGTTTTGGGCAGGGAGAGGTGTTGAAGGGAGTGGGCAGCGGTGAAAGCAATGGGAGTGGAGTAACGAGAGGGTCGGTTGAGGAAGCGGGGAAGCAAGTGGAGCGTGGTGGTAGTGGTGGGTGTGGTGCTGCTGCTGTAACTGGTGGGGCTGCCGCTGCCTCTGCTGCTGCTGCTGCAGGTGCTTCTGCTGCAGGTGTTGTCTGTGCTCCTCCTTCCAGTGCCCAAGCCACGCTGCAGACGCAGCAGTCACGGGCAGGAGAGAGGAGTGAGCAGCAAGAAGTGTGCCTGGGGCTTGCCGTGTCTTCTGATGGGCTGACCACAAGCAAGCAGCAGCAGCAGAAGCAGTCAGAGGGAGGGGGAGGTGGTGGTGATTGTGGTGCCACGTTAGCAACAGTCCAGGCTGATCCCGCAGGTCATCAAGCGGATAGGGTGGATGGCGTGGATGGTTCAAAGGCCGCAAGCCTGTGGACCGGAGCAGATAAACCAGCAGCAGCAGGAGGAGGAGGAGGGGGAGGAGGAGGAGGAGGAGGAGGAGGAGGAGGAGGAGGAGGAGGAGGAGGAGGAGGAGGAGGAGGAGGAGGAGGAGGAGGAGGAGGAGGAGGAGGAGGAGGAGGAGGAGGAGGAGGAGGAGGAGGAGGAGGAGGAGGAGGAGGAGGAGGAGGAGGAGGAGGAGGAGGAGGAGGAGGAGGAGGAGGAGGAGGAGGAGGAGGAGGAGGAGGAGATAACAGTGCAGAAGCAGACATGAAGCGAGAGGAGGGAGCTGACACCAACCGCACCAAGGAAGAAAGTATCAGGAACGGGGATGGGAACGGGAATGGGGCTGAAAATGGGAGTGGGAATGTGGGTGGGGTTGAGAGCACAGGAGAGGAGGAGTTGGAGAGCCAACCAAGCATTGACATCAAGCCGCGGGACGCACAATCTAATCCCAGTGCATGGGCCTCTGCCAATGACGCCTCTGGGATGGGCTCCTCTGCAGGCGCCTCTGGGAACTCCAGTAATCCTTTTCCCGGGTATACCGGCCCGCTCCCGTCTGCTCTCATGCAAGGTCCCCTCCCCACGCCCATGTGGATGTCCTCCCTCCCTCGGGATTCGCCTCGGATTCTGATTGGCCCGGGCGGCGCCAGGTGGCCGATGGGGAGGGATTCGCCAGGTCAGATGCAGTCGCCGTTTAACATGCTGTCGCCGCTGAATACCGCCCGGGTTTTTTCTGACGTGGCGCAGGCGCCGCTGCCGTCGCCTATTGACTTGCCGGAGATCAAAGGAGAGTAAGAGGTGTGTTCACAGCCGAACGGCTTAGCAGCAGTCGTTTACGGGTCGATAAATCAATGGTTCAGGTCTAGATAAACAAAGTGTCGGTTTTGGTGGGCATATTCTGTAAGGCAGAATTCATTCTCTGTATGAATTTTGTTTAGGGTTTCAATGATGTGACAGTACAAATCCACGATATTTCTTGACTTGAACCATGGTTCGATGAAACCTACCCACACCGCACACCAAGCCTTTCATCCACCCTAAAGACTTCGGGGGGTGGTCCGAGTTGGAGAACCTGCGGGCGGACCGAAACCACACCTCTGGCTCGGCGCGCTTTTGATGTGGAGTCTGGTTGGGTGGTCCGAACAAGAATTTCGACTCTGGTCTGGTTCGATTCGAGCGGTACGGGATTGGTCAGTGGTCACTAGTCGCCTCGGAAAATCAAGCAGACTTGACGCTGTCAATTCTTTAGGGCCAATCACCTCGCCTCTCCAGACCAAACCAGTTACCAGACCTGTGAACGCCTCTGTGAACGCCATCTCGGATGTGGAGGCGGGGAGGGAACTCGCCAAACCCTCACAAACGTCTTTGACCGCTCGCAGATCCCGAGACACTAGAAGAACGTCTTGACTCTCTCCTGCTCTGCCATTGTTTCTGCTTTCTTTCCCAAATTCTGCCTCCAGATCAGACGGACATCGATGTGAATGTGCAGTCGTGCTCTCTGTAATTCTGAATGTGCGCTTCCGCTTGTGAAAATTTTTGGCGCCCCGCGTAGACAGCTAGTAGTATATTAGAAAACTGCCAAAACTTTTCCTTTTTTTCTCTCTCCTCTTTTTTCTTTTTCTCTTTTGGGAATAAGTTATTGTTGTGTGCCTCAGCTTGGGCTCGCGTTGCTGGCGAGTCTCCTCCCGCACCTTAAAGTCCTTTCTCTTTCCGTCGCAGGTGTTAACAACGTATGACAACTAGGTCATACATAGAACCACATATCAGCCGAGGCGCCTACACGGTACCTTAAACGTCCTGCGAGCAGATCCACGCTCCGACCATGGATGAGCAATTGAGATCGTTAAGAATTCTGTGTGAGAGACTACAAGACACGTCGAGGAGGGCGCACTCGCACGCCACGAAGCTGAAGGAGCACGCTGATACCATGTGCTGCCGCGTCGAGAACGCTCAATGATCCGCGGGACAGGAGGACCCGGACTTTGATGAGAGCCTTAGCGGGTGAGTAAGCAGCCTTCTCGTTGTGGACTGATTGTTAGACTTCAGATTAGCAGACTCGATTTCAATCTCCGGGACAAGAGGACCCGGGACAAGAGGACCCGGGACAAGAGCCTCAGCAGTGGTGAGTGGGCAGCCGTCTCGTCTATGTCAGAATCAAGGCAAGCAGCGGTTTTCCGGAGCAAGCCGTCTTGGTCGTGAATGAAAGCCGGTGAGCGAAAGGAGCACGTTTTTGGATTTCCGGGTGTGTGATTGGACATTGAGATGTCGACGGTGACTCAATGTCTCATGTACTTTACTTCTGCCGCCTTTACCGGGCGTTCGACGAGCCAAGTTTCTCAATGCCTTTCGCGTCGTCCGTATCGTACCACCTACTTTCTTTTCCTCGTTTTTTTCGTCATTTCTTCCAGGGTTCATTGATTTCTCTCTCCCAATATCTTTTCCCTTCCGCAGTGACGTGGCAGAAGCTCAAGATCTGGTCCAATCAGCGATGGAGGCCCTGGGAAGCTGCCAGGCTCTTCTCTGACCCCCGAACCCTGACGCGGAATCTCCTCCTGCTGACGTGGCATCGACCCCCGTTTCGTGCTCTGCTGAGGTGGAACACGTGGATCAACAGGACAACTCCGAGTTGCATCCACATCAGCACGAGCAGCAGCAACAGCAACATCACAACAATCCGCATGAGAATCACAAACAGAGCCATCAGCAGCAGCAGCAGCAGCAGCGGCGGCGGCGGCGGCTGCGGCTGCAGCAGTGGCGGCAGCAGCGGCTGCAACGGCAGCAGCAGCAGCAGCAGCAGCAGCAGCAGCAGCAGCAGCAGCAGCAGCAGCAGCAGAAGCAGTATGGATACAGCATGTCTCACCGCAACGATGCCGCCAGTGCGCAATTGTTCCTCTCCGACCACACAAACAACCAACCCGCCACCCACCCCACGGGGTGCACCTCTCTCGTGCGACCGGCCGTCCCATCACTGATGGCTGCCGCCCCCTGCGCTTCTCCCGCTGCAGCTACGGGCAACGGAACCGACGCATCCGCTCCGGCCACTCGCAATCCCGGTGCGGCCGCCGCCGGTGCAGCCGCTGCCGCTGCCGCTTCCGCCGCCTTTCGTGCAGCAGCGGCAGCGGGGGTACCAATCTCGGAGGAGGTGCGGATGCATCTGCGAATGCTGGGCGAGGTGAATCTTGATACAGACGGCAGCGTGGGCAACATAGTCTCTTCAGTGCTGCACCAGTTGAACCGTGACGGGATAAGGCCGTCTGACAGGATAAGGCCGTCTCCCCCTGCGGCGTTTCCCCTGGTACCCCCACCCGGAGTCCTTCCCCCGCCCGGAGTCCTTCCTCCGCACGGCGTTTTCTGCCCCCCAGGCTCCTCCCATCCGCAGCTTCTCCCACCCGGACCTGCAGGCTTGGGAGGTGTAGGTTCGGACGCCTCGGCAGTGACAGGAGCTTTGGGTTCGCCGGCGGCAGTGGGGGGAGGCCGGGGGATTGCTGGTCCCCCTGTGCTTCCTCCGCTCGGGGGGTGGGATAACACCTTGTACCATCCCCCCCAGTTAACGGGAAGCTTGGGCGGGAGGGGCATCACAGGGGGGATGGGTTCCCCCGCGCTTTTCGCGCCTTCCCCCCCGCTTCTTCCCGCGCTTCCCCCTGCGCTTCCCCCTGCGCTTCCCCCCGTGCTCCCCCTTGTGCCTGCACCTCCTGCGATTCCCCCGCTTCCCACGCTTCCCCCCTCCCCTGCGCCTATGGCAGCGGAAGGTGAGGAGGGAGGACGAGGCGGAGCGCGGCGCGCATGGATGCCCGCGGGAGGGGGCGGAACGGGGGGGGAAGGAGCGGGGCAACTTGAGGGCTTTGAGGCGCCTCGGATGCTGAGGGTGGGGAAGGACGGGGGAAAGGGCGCGGGTGAAGGGGGAGATGCTGAGGGTGCAAAAGCAGGCGCAGGCGCAGGGGGTGGGAGTGGGGGGGGAACAAAGCGGAGTGCTGCTGTTGCCGCTGCTGGCTGTGCTGCTGGTGGTGGGGTTGGGCTTGGCCCTGTGGGGACTGGTGGTGGTGGCAGCGGCTGCGGCGGCGGCTGTGGCGGCGGAAGTGGCAGCGGTGGCGGCGGTGGTGGCGGTGGTGGCACAGAGGAAGATGGTGACGATGGGGCAGTGCTGCTGCATAAGAGGTGTGTGTCGTGTGGTGACCGTGCCTTGAGTCGTCTCAAAAGTCAGTTGCTGCTGCCGGCTGTGGTGCTGGTGGTGGTGGGGTTGGCCCTGGGGGGGGTGGCTGGTGGAGCAGAGGAGGATGGTGACGATGGGGCAGTAGTGCTGCTGCATAAGAGGTGCGTGTCGTGTGGTGACCGGGTGGGAGTGGCGCATCTCATCCCGCCCTTCCCCCGTCTGATCTCTCATCCCGCCCTTCCCCCGTCTGATCTCTCCCCCCTATCCCTCCCCCCCCCCCCCTGGCAGGCCGCGCATGCCACGCATGCCCTCAGCGCCCGATATGCCAATGGACGGGTGGGAGTGGCGCAAGTACGACCAGAAGGTCACCCTCGACCAGACCTACCCCAGGTACCTGCCTTGCCTTGCCCTGCCTTGCCCCGCTGCCCCGCTGCCCCGCTGCCCTGCTGCTTACCATGCCCCCCGTTTTCAAGTTTTGAGTCGACTTGAAACAAGTACGGCCACAAGGACACACTCGGCCACACCTATCCCAGGTACCTGCCTTGCCCTGTTTCCATCTCCCACGCCCTCCTTGCCCTTCTGCCTCCAATGCTCTCCTTGCCCCGCCCACTCGCTGTGCCGCCATTTCACCCCCCTCCTCTCCCCCTCCCACGCTCTTGTGCTGGCGCTCCCTCCCCACCCCTCCCCACCCCTCCCCACCCCTTCCCCCCCCTCCCCTGTTGTGCCTCCATGCCCAATGCCCTCGCTCTGCTTCCATCTCTTTGCTTTCCTGCCCCGTTCTTTCCATTTTCTTATCCCCACCATGCCCGGTTGTAACATGGGTAGAGCGCCGCCAACAACACCCTGTTTCGTCCAACTGACGAACCAAGCACATTGTGAACACACCCTTTCCCTCTTCCCTACTTTCCTCCAACCCCCCGCCTCCCCCCCTTCCTCCCTCTCCCCCTCCCCTCTCCACACTAGCTACTTTTGCTGTGCGCAGTTTTGAGATCTCAAAACTTTCCTCCAACCCTCCCCCCCTCTCTCTCCCCCTCTCCCCTACCCACAGGAGCTACTTCCGCTGTGCGCACAAGACCACCGGTTCCCACCCCTGTCCCGCCAATAATTCTCTCCCCCCCCGCTTACCCTCTCCTCTCCTCCCACCTTCTCTCACAGGAGCTACTTCCGCTGTGCGCACAAGACAACCGGCTTCCACCCCTGTCCGGCAAAGAAGTGGGCGGAGAGGTGCAACGACAACCCCTTCAACTGGCGCATCAAGTATGTGGGCGAGCACAACCACTCCAAGCCGCCCCCCCGCCCCGTCACCATCACCATCATTCATGACGGGCCTGTGGATGGAACCGACGCCCTTACCCCTGCCGCTGCTCTCCCTGCTCCTGCCACTGCTGCCCTCCCTACCCCTGCCGCTGCTCTCCCTACCCCTGCCGCTGCCCTCCCTACCCCTGCCGCTGCTCTCCCTACCCCTGCAGCTGCTCTCCCTACCCCTGCTGCTGCTCTCCCTACCCCTGCTGCTGCTTTCCCTACCCCTGCTGCTGCTCTCCCTGCCCCTGCCACTGCTGCTCTCCCCGCCCCTGCCGCTGCATTTGAGGCACCTCAAAAGGCGCCTCCTGCTGCTGCTGCTGCTGCTGCTGCTGGTGGTGCCCCT